GGTCACTGCCCCGAGTGCTCCTACTACCACGGGGATCACGCTTGCCATATGTATATATATATATATATATATATATAAATTACACAATAAGACAAAGACTACAGCCATTCTAACAGTTCTCTCTCTTTACTTTGTGCTAAATACTATTATCAGCATGCTAACATGCTCACAGTGACAATGCTAACATAATGATGTTTTGCAGGTAAAACTGTTTTACCACCTTCAAAATGTTAGCTTAGCATGTTAGCATGCTAACATTTGTTAATTCCCACTGAACACAACCCTTCACATGATGCTGATGGGAATGTGAGTAGTTCTGCAGATATTTAGTCACAAACCAAAGTACAATTTTAAAGTAAATGTTTAATGGTGGTGCTAGATGAAAGGTCAGGGGATCAAAAAAGTTACTCGGTTTTATCCTAATTTTAACCAAATTTCATGGCAATCTACATCTTTACCAAATTTTGTGGTACTGATCAGCCGGCAGCCTGACAATATCATCTAAAGAGAAACACAGCTACCATGGCAAGACATAAACTGCATTGTATATCATTATATAATGTTTATAAGTCCAACATGGATACTAATAATGTCTATAAACTTGACAACTACCAATACTAATGCTCAAAACTTGAATTACATTTGATATGTTTTTTCCTCGCCTGCTCTCTGCTCCATTAGGGGCCCTGTGCTATGCTGAACTGGGCACCAGTTTTACAAAATCAGGAGGCCACTACACTTATCTGCTGGAGACACTGGGGCCACTGCCTGCCTTTTTACGACTTTGGGCTGAGTTCTTATTCATCAGGTTGGTTAGTTTTGTCCTTTTGTCCTGGCTTAAGTCAAATCACACCACATAATGATCATATTTTTCTATTTTCAGGCCAGCTGTGGCTTCCTATGTGTCCCTGGCTTTTGGCCGCTATGTGGTGGAGCCGTTCTTTGAACCTTGTGCTGCTCCCACGGCGCTTATCAAACTTGTCAGCATCCTCGGAGTGAGTGAGTGGTTTTACACCTCCTCCTTTTATACACAACACCATTATACTACTCTGCTAATGCGGTGCAAGGTTAAGACTCATAAACTTTTTGTTTACCAGTTGTTTGTCGTTGTGTCCCTGCAGCGTTTGTCGTGGCAGTCAACTGCTGGAGTGTGACCATGGCCTCTCGCACTCAGGTCACCTTGACTTTCGTTAAGATTTTTGCTCTGGTCCTCATCATCGTCCCTGGTGTCATCGCACTGGGCAAAGGTGTGAGGGTGTGATTGTTACCCCTGAGTCTACAGATGGCTTTCCAACTGTTAGGTCAGTGTCAAATGCTTTCTCTCTCTCTTTCAGGAAAAACAGAGAATTTCCAGAATGGTTTTGAGGTCGACTCATTAACATTGGATAGGGTGCCACTGGCCTTCTATAATGGCCTGTATGCTTACGGTGGATGGTAAGCAAATCATTATTACAGTATTGTCTTCTTTTACCATACACTAGACCTCTCTATGACATATATATCAATATACTGTTGCGGTAAGATACATTAAGACCTATTACTTTGCTAAAAAAAACACAAAACAATCTGAACTGGGCCTGTGTGTACGGGCTTTTCCTTTTCCCTTTAGGTTTTATCTGAACTTTGTCACAGAAGAGGTCATAAACCCAAATAGGTATTTTACATCTGCTCTCCAGTCAACCTATTTTTAAAAGCCACGTTGCCTTGAAAATACTATTATAATGCCCTGTGTGTATCCTGTCTTGTCAGAACCATCCCGCTGGCAATAATCTGCTCCATGGTGACAGTCACAGTCTTTTATGTGCTTGTTAATGTGGCCTACTACACCATGATGACCCCCGATGAGCTGCTGCTGTCGGACGCTGTGGCTGTGGTCAGTGCTCCCTGCATTTAAAAAGGAAAACCAAAAGAAATGAGATGCACTGTATGTTTAAATGTACAACCCTGTGTCTGTGCAGACGTTTGCGAACCGTGCTCTCCAGGGAATGGCATCTGTGATTCCCATTCTTGTGGCCCTATCCTGCCTTGGAGCGCTTAACGGTGGCTTCTTTGGGTCACCGAGGTAATCTGGGCACAGAAAGGTTATTATTGTCATTCAAGAACGATTGTTACCGGCCTGGTTGTAAGTCTTTGTTTGTGTTGCAGGATGCTGTTTGTGGGAGCCAGGGAGGGCCACTGGCCTCAAATCTTTTCCATGATTCACATCCGCAGACAAACACCTTTGCCTGCCGTGCTGTTGCTGGTAAAGTACATTCCACACACTTAGACCAGCAACAGTGTTTTTATTTTATATTTATGTCACTGCATGAATGGACAGAAAAAGGACCAATAACAAAGATAAAACAGCATATGTTTACAGTGTTTCCTTCTTAATGTTTTTATAACTGCTGTTAGGTGGAGGTTTAGCCTTCCATGATCTAAATGTTTCAGAGGATCTCTAATCAGCTGGAAACAGCATTTTACATTTTCAGTGTTGTTATCTGTATCTATTCTGTCCTTAACACTTTTTAGAAAACTGTCAACAAAATTATTAGTACTAGGTCTCTGGGGGTTTTCAGTCTGTCTTTCTAAAAAGCATATGGAGACATTATCACTGTTAACTGTCAGCTATGCAATGAAAATATTGAAAATTGATTCCATTTGCATTCAATAATCACAATTCTCATTATATATTGGTAAGAAATCAATACAGTAAATTACATTTACTGTAGCAAATGTTTCTGAATGGGAACCAGTTCTTAATTCTCATTCCTAGTGGGATCTAAATGTATGATAGAGTTCAAATAAAAAGGTGCTTCACTCTCCACTACCTGCCTCCAGTACCCTTTGGTGGTGTTGATGTTAATCAATGGAGAGATCTACCAGCTCATCAACTTTGCCTCCTTTGCTCGCTGGTTCTTCATCGCCTTGGCAACCTTGGGGATGCTCATCCATCGATATCGCTTCCCCCTCCACCCACGACCTTTCAAGGTTAGTGTGTCGGTGGTTGTTGTGTCTAATTGTGTACAGCATTCTCCAATATTACGGTACACTAAACTGACTGTGCTGTTTTATTCTGCTCTTTTTAATAACCTGAAGGTGCCCCTGGCCATTGCTGTCACCTTCACAGTGGTTTGCTTCTTCATCGTGGGTCTGTCGCTGTACTCAGACCCCTGGAACACAGGGCGAAGCTGTGCTCTCACACTGACCGGGGTCCCAGTTTACTATGTGACGGTCTACCGCTTTCGCTTGCCCAAAAGATGGAGACGCATCTTCAGTGAGTCATATCAAAAGCTGTTCTCTTATCATTTCTTAAGAGTTTTACGTTTTTTTCCAACTTCAAATGAACCCATGGCTTACTAAAAGCCACTCTGGGCATTTTATCCTAACTTTGGCATAAATTAATAGGATTCTCAACTCTTTCATATTCTCAGACTACTGCAGCAAGCAGCTACAGATCCTTCTAGAAGTGGCTCAACAGGAAGTCCAGACATACTGAAGACCACTTTCTACTGACAGACTTCCTGGATATCACCTGAACAAGTCCTAGAACATTTTAATGTTTACAGTTTAAATCAGTGTTTCATACTAAATGAATTTTAAGAGGCTGGTGTATCGGGCTTAGGCTGGAACAAGAGGTACTTTTCTCTGTTGTTATCATTCTTCATGAAGATCTGAAGTTCTGCTCAAGATCTTATTTTTTTACAAAGTTCTGTAAGAACCAATAAAGTCATTTTTGAATCAGACAATCTATAAAATGTTTTCAACTTTTATTAAAATATAAATAAAAATAGGCAACATTGCTATGTAGTTTTCCGGATACAGTCCACCTTACATTGCTGTAATGTAGCTGGTGTGAAGTTGTAGAAATTGCACTAAGTGTATTTACACAAAGTAAGCTGCGAAGCAAATCAACAAGTATTCTTAAGGTAAAAAAAAAGACGACCGAATAAAAGCCCCTTTTTTCGCTACATGACGCACCAACACCAACACATTTATTGTATTCACAAAAACACCAACTTTAGAAAACAGGACAAGGCACATGCTTTGAACACTGTTTGCTAGAAACCACATTTCACTCTTGCAAGCCTTTGTAAACAGATATCAACTCCCTGCAATGCCAAACCTCACTTATAAGACACACACGCAAACCTGAAGGAATTATTAAAGCCATACATTATTTTGTGGCATTTTCAAAGATGGGTCTAACTCCCATTCTATCCTCCAAAGATGGTGCTGACGAAAGATATTTTGCCTGGAACCAAAAGCTCTTTCCCCATGTTCCATTTGTGCTCACAGAAAAATAAAAAGGCAGTTTGCGTCTTTATTGAAAACTAAGACAATCTGCACTAGATAGATACAAAATAGTCCCAAATTGTTCCCAAAGACTGTTCTTAAAATATGTTGTTGACATGAGGAGTCACTGCATGCAAAATGTCTCTCTCTGCAAGTACAAAGTGCCCTTAATCTGATGAACAATTACTGTAAGGAAATAAAATCAAAATGTGAAGACAGTTCTACAATTAATGTACAGGGACAGTCCTACTGCTGTTAGTGCTATTTGTATTACCTTGTCATTGTTTATTGCTAACAATCCTGCATCACAATCTAAATTCCAGGAGTCTGCCTGAAGCGAATGGCAAAAGAAGCATCTCACTGGCTTATCGGGCGATATAGTCTTTCCATTTACATATGTAAAAGCTAACTTATATATTAAAATGTGCAAAATCAACATACATATACACATATATTTCTCCTCTTAAGCGATTCCTTCAAGAGTACAGATGGAGATTACAGGTTGGGTAAATGAAAGAAAACAGGACCATGTGTTAAGTTTCCACATGGGAGGTTTTACAGATAGAAAAAAAAAAAAAAAAAAAAAAAAAGTGATAAAGGCAGTTAATGAGGGATGGAAGCATTGAAAAAGTAAGCCTGAAGTGGAGAGAAACAATTAGAGGGACGACAAGTGAGCAGCTGATTTGACCTGGTAACTAATATTAAAGTGTCCCCGTCATTCATTCGTTTTTTTGTTGTTTCTTTTAAAACTTTATTCCCAACAGCAGACATCCAGGGGAAAGCAAAGCAGATGCAAAAGAAAACAAGCAAAACATTTTTAAACGTTAAAGCTACAAACGGTTCAATCGAACGACTACAGCACTGACAAAAGATTAGGGATATTATCTTTAATCCATACGCCAATCAGGTCATCTAATATTTATCTCCTGGCCAATTAACTCAACTTCTTCTGACTGGCAAAAACTAATTGCCTTCAGTATTGATGATATTCTAAGAGTATACTTCATATTCTTGGTGATAAGTCTTATATTATCTATGATCTCTATCTACTTGTCTCACTCTGAGCAAATGTAGTCACTATAAAATCAGCAATGTGATGTTCCTTTTAATCCAGTTGCTATAGTCTCCGTGAACCAATTCTGACAATTTCCTAAGATTTTGGTGTACAGTTTATTAATGTTTCAAATATTTTATCATTTTTCACACATTTGCATCTGCTTTGTTGTGTCTGTGTGGTCCCCCTCCCCCCATAGTGTTTTTAAAAAAACAAACTACTTTAATTGAGGGATGAACTCGGACCAGCTGATATTGGCCATTCCCAAGTCCTCATCATCCAGACCAGAGAAGCTAATGTCCACTAGTATCTTGCTCAGGCTGTCATTCATTGTATCCAGCACTAGGCCCTCCGTGATGGAGCGGTTAGCGGGTGTGGCGCCTCCCGCCTGAAGCAGCTCTCTGGAGCAGCTGCTTTTGAGGCACTCCATGGGAGAGTCTGTAGGTCCCGTCACTCTGGGGGGAGCTGATGTGAGCAGCTCTCTGGGGGAGCTAAACAGAGGCCAGTCTTTAAAGGGAGTGCTGTTGAAGCTGAAGGTGGTGTAGTCGTGCCGCGGCGTGACTGCGGGACCACCTGGCGTGCGAATGGGGCTGAAGTCCAGAACATTTTGGTTCCCTTTGCCCACAGGGGTCACTTTCCAGGGTTCAGACAAGACAGAGGGGGGCTTGCTGGGTGTGGAAGAGGTCAGGTGGCTGCTGCTTTTTATGGGGGTCTTAAAGGCTAAGTCCCGATCGGGGCTGCGCTGCTCGTGCTGGTGCTCGTCCAGCTCACTGTCTCGCATGTCCTGGAAAGTTGAAGCGTCGGAGGCCACGCCAGAGTCAAAGAACGTATTATCGGGGCAGAGGAGCACAGGCTCCTCGTGCAGAGAGTGAACCAGGCGTTGTTTACGGCGAGAGCTGCTGGCTTGTCTCTTCGGAAGGGATTTAGGAGTCTCGCATTTAATTGGAATACACTCCGGCTCGTCCTTCACCTTCTCCTTGAGGTCTTTGTTCTTCTGAGGATACATTACCACGGCTGGGATGTCACTTTGTGTCACCTGTCAGACATACAATCATGGACTTTACAATTCTACCAGTAACTGTGTCTTTGGGTCCTTGTTCATGGTCAAATCTAGCCAGACTTAGCAAAGCTGATACCACATGACAACAGTGTGCATTTGCATACAATGCATGACAAAGTCTTTACCTTAGGAGCTATCCGCACTCTCTTTGTTCCCCGTGAAGTGTTGTGTTTCTGCTGCGAGCAGGAAGAGGGAAACTGGGCCGATGAGGATGGCAGATAGACGGAGGAGGCGACGGGGAGCTGGATCGGAACCAAGTAGGAATCGGTTCGGGGGAGAAGAGGTTTCATCCTTCTCTCTGAACGTACAAAAGACAAGTCAGAGCAGAGTTTTAAACTTAAAAACAAAACAAAAAAACATTTGCATTCTTTCCCCATTTAACTCCTTCCACCTCTGTTAACTCACCAGAGCCAGTTGGAGTTTTTCTTGCATCAGGAAGCATCCTCTTTTGTTGCTGTGAAAAATATAAAAATCACATCACATCACAGAGAAGTGTTCTGCCTCAGTGGCCTTACTGTGCTCTGTCATTCCTGACTACACCACAGTGACAACCTGCGTTCTCTCCATTGCTTTAGGGTTTGTCAAGCTAGAACAGACAAAAATGTCAAAGTTAGACACTTAAAACTTCCCCTACACTTTATGGAGGAACATTTCTGTGTGTACACATTCTTTGTTGGACAGTGTCAAAGCAGACTAGTCTTTCAGTGTGACTTCAGCCTCTCTGCTGTTCATATCATCTCCTCCTGCAACAAAACGATTTCCCTAGACCTCCTGGTGACGAAAAAAGGCAAATGAAAGAGCAAATCTTCTGACTTTCTGTCCCTTTTCTGCTTTCTTCTGTCTGACTGCAGAGATGAAGACTGTTCCTAGAGAACTGAAAGAAAGGTAAATCCATCTTACTTGGTGGGGTAATAAAAGCATTGGCACCGGAACAGGAGCAGTCATGGGGTCACAACCAGGCTGTCGAGACAGATGTGGAGTGAGAGGCAAGAAAACCATTAAGATTGGAAAACAGGAGTCCAAAATTAATTTGAAAGCACTGCAGCTTCTCTGGGTATACAAAACATGGCTGGAATAGGCTGGAAATGATATAAAAGGGAAGTTAAGCATCTCCTAGAATATATCTTTCAGCTTTTATATCATGTGACACAAGGTTTCCCTTTACACGATGGACAAAAAAGGTCAGTTGTAATCACCTTGTACACCTGATCAAGAGTGAGGCATCGGTTGGCTTCCGGCCGGATAGTCCAGAAAGAAACTTTACCATCTGGTGACGTCTCGCGAATGAACATGTCGTGTAGAGAGAGGTTATGGCGGATGGAGTTCTGCAACAAAACAAAACAAAAACTTGCGTTTCAGTCAGTGATACTCAAATATGTTAATGCTATTTGCTGAATAATGTGCGTCCACAGATGATACATTTTTATTTTCAGCTCTAAAGTACCTTCCATCCTGGTTTGGCCACCTCTCTGAAGTAAGGGAAGTGGTCCTCAATCCACATGTAAATCTCTCTCAGTGTCATCCTCCTGGTATTCCGACTGTTGATTGCAAACTGGATCATGGCCATGTAGGAATAAGGTGGCCTCTCTGACACAGGTTGTTGAACAGATTCTGAACTGATGTGTGTATTTTGTGTCTGTGTTAGAAACAAGGAGAGAAAGAAGGAACACAGAAAAAGAAACTTAAATACATGGCACGTGTATTAAATGATACAGATTATTTTAGATCTATTTAAACATAGCCAGGGTTTCTACTAAATCCTTATGCACGGACACATCTTAAATTGGACTACAATCAGGTTTATGAATGTAAAAAGTGTCAACAGAAAGTCTGCCCAGATAAACAGCACCATTTTTAACAAAAGGAGTTTGAGACTTATGGAGTGGACTCCGTAAAGCACTTTGGGTATGAAATGTGCTACAGAAAAATTAGATCTTGCAGCTTGATGAGTTTTTTTGAGCTGCTACGTTATTCGCATTTATTTACTGTAATTATCTACAAATACCCTCAAATTAAAATCAGACAATCCAAACTATTAATTTAACCTTAACCCTATTAATTAAATAATTTCAACTGTAGCAGCAAATTGTTTTCTGCAATCCCAAAAACATGGAGATTCATTGTAAAACACACTGATGTTACTTTATAGTGGGACCAACTAGTTAAAGGATGGTGTTAAGGGGACATGCTGAGATCAGTGTTCCCTTCACACACGCACTATTCACATCTATCACACCGAGGTGACGAGAAAGAGCAGCTGACCTGAAAAGTCTGTGAATTTAGGACTTGGTTCTCCTTGTTGGAAGTCTGCTTGTCAGGATCTGGTTCCAAGGCACATGTGCTCATTCTGCCCAGCCACTGAATATTGGTGAGACTGTCATCTAAAGGACCCCCATCCAGATCCTTGTTCACTAATTAAGAAAAGCAGAAGTTATTATTGTTTTAAACAAAGCAAGGATTAAAGATAGCTTACAAAGTCAGTGAAAAAAAAAAAAAACAACATACATATTTTAATTCCAGTGAGGGGTTTAGCATCCGGAGACTGCATAGTTTCTGTTTTCACTGGTTGTCCAACTGCACTGGACGAGGTGTCATCCCCTTCAGCAGCAGGCTGACAAAAAGAGCCATTGTCACGGCTGCCGTTCTCACTCAGTAGGATGAACTTGTTTGGCCCCTGGACCCCACACTCTTTGCCTTTCGCAGTGAGGGCCCCGATAACACTCTGGAGGTCTGCCGTTTTGGGAATGACGACCACCTGTGTGTCAGACATGGAAGGGTGATCCATAATGCGGACCCCATCGGGGAAGCACTGACCGGCAGCGGATTCAGAGGGTTCTTTGGAGCCTGATGCACCAGACTGGCTTTGGGATTCAGCTGCTGGTGGATCATTTTGCTGAAAGGGCAACTTTCTTCTTCTGAGGATCAGGGGTCTCCTTGGGCTCCGTCTCATGGTCATCAAATCATTGAAAATACTCCTTGGTGTTCACTGGTATTCTGTAAAAAAAAAAATAATATAACAAAGACAAATAAGTAGATTGTTTTAAAGCATGCAAAACACTGAAAGAAAGTTTTATCCCTGCCTGTGTAACTTGAATTACCAGTAGATTAAAGTTCACTTGGCAGAGAGTGTAAAGTCAATGCCAAGACAGTTGGTGCTAACAGTTACCAAAAGGCTGCATTCACACCGTTCTTCCGTATGCCAACAACGTTAATCGATTTAGACTGAAACGAAGAGAAACAACTCACATCAAATACCAGTCAGAATATAACTTACTATACACTGGCGGGACTGGCGCTGTATGTTAATAATCAAAATCCGTGTGTCCGTTGTTTTTTTTAAGTCGCTCAGTTTAGCAGCCTATTTTCAGTTGGTTATGTTTCCTGGCGACTCATTGCCTTCTAGAACAACAGTCGTTAACGTGTTTGCAGTTGGTGTAACGTTTATTTCCTGGCAAACAGCCAAAAGTTGAATGAATTCATAGTTTCTAACGTAACTGTTGTCAAGCAGCTAACAGCTAGTGTGGCAACAAGAAGCGGTGCAAGTTACTTGATTTGAAAACTGTATTAAAACAAGCGGTCCATTGTTAATGTTAGGTGTGCCGAATAAAAATACATGTTTTAAATTACTGATGAAACAGTTCAAATGATTTATACCGATGTGCGTTTTAAGAATACGCTATGAATACAGTATAATTCAATATTTTTTAAATTGAGTTCAGTCTGACAGCGATTTGACACACACATGTAGCATCGAGCTACGAAATGAAGATTATTTGGAGGAAACATCTGAAGAAAATACAGGTTAACTGTGGCACCTGGCGAGTCTGAATAACGTTACAGCTTTCTTTCACTTCTTTCATGGTTGGAAGCTAAGCTAAGTTAGCTGACTTAGCCAGCAGGCTACTCTATTGTAACGAGCAACAAAGCTAAATAAGAGCCAAACCTTCATATTATTGTAATATTTCAGGCAATTCCGCTCGGCTGGACTCCTACTAGTAGTTGCCACACTCGATTCACTTTCGACAGCAACTCAAAAGATCCATGATATGTGTTATATTCTTCCATTTAGCGTTATTTACATGCCGTCGGGTCTATTCAGAAACGGTTTTTGAATTTTGGCGCTGCGGGTGCTGCCTCCGTCACTTTGATCACGTGGTCACGAGTCCACCAATAGGAGCCGTAAGAAAAGACCACGATGGAAACAAACCAATCAGAGACGACGATGGTGGAAACCGGGAAATAATAAGTGACAAGGCGACGAAAAAAAAGTGTATAGTGGACAATTTAAGAGGAATTACTAACTGTTTATGCATTTATTTATTGTTTGCAATGGTGGCCATCACTTATGCTTAGTATCACATTAAGGTATGTATAATATCGGGTTTGTATCTACGAATGAAAACGTTCAAAGGTAAACAGCTGACTGTGGACATTGAGCCGTAAACAGTAATCTGCGTGTGGGAACAGTAACAGTCAGATATTTGAACATACTGATTTAGTGGTGCTTTGTTTCAACTATAGGATCTTCGGGAATGATTTCTATTAATGCCACGTAAAGCCATAAAGACAGAGAAGCCTCCCCTGCTGTTCCTGGAGCGGACTTTGTGTGGAGCCAGACTCCAAAATGTGCCTGAAGTCCGAGCAGCGCTCAACCCTAAAGAGTTCTTCACCGAGACACAAGCACACAACAGCTCAGCTCTTCATTCCTGGGTAAGTTGTTGATTCATATGAGCGCCATTGGGGTGCAACATGACCCTGTGGTTGCAGACATTGCATGCAAACACACTGCTGAAGTGTCCCTGAGTATGTCACTGAATATAATATTGTAGCTTAAAGGCTCTGCAGATCAACCTGACCTTCCTATGTGTTATATGTGACTCAGGTTATTACTGTACTTTTAATCTCTTAGGTCAGCCCACAGTTCGACGGTTCACTTGCAGCTGCACCTCCAGTGAGACGAGGGAGGAGAAAATGCCACTCGTCCACAAGCATCCTCGACAGCTGCAGCCAGCTGTCCAGGAAAAACAGTGTGTGCAAATTCCCCTCATTAACATTTCAGACAAGGTCAAGAGACCAGGCTAATCAAGCAAAAGGTACACGCGCCAAGAAAGCTACAGAGTGTACTGTTGTGTCTGACGCAGGAAATCAACCACGGGGATCATGCCGAATCAAAAGGACGGTTTCAAGTGCACAGTACTCAGACACACCGAAGAGACAGACGACCTCAATCAGAAAAAGAAATGTGGAGAGATTTTCGTACGCTGCTGCATCCTCCAGCAGACATTTGGACCAACTTGAAACTCCATCTATTCAAGTCACAGAGAGATGCAGAATCCCAGCAGATGGTGCTTCAACACCTGCCTCCAATGAGTTCATCACTTCTGAGGTCAGCGGTGTTGGTCCACCGCCTGATGTGGACACTCCAGAAGTAATACAAGAAGGGAGAAGTTGTCCCTCCTCAGCCCCTCTACACTTGCTTGTGCCTCAGTCATGTACACCACCATGTAATCAGCCACCTGACATTTTGGTGTCTGACACACCAGAGAGGGATTATGGGGTGAAGGTGACATGGAGGAGGAGGAGGGGTTTGATGTTGTTGATGAAAGAGCGGGGCCATCTCTCTGATTCAGATGTGTTCACTCGCAGCTGATGTATGGAGCTGATGAGAAAACAATGAGGCACTGATATCTACAGAGAAGAGATACTGATACTGCAGTTCACTGATGGTTTACTTTGATTTAACCTCACAATAACAAGCCGAGCATTTTATGAAATAACTCTCTCACACCCACGCTCTCTGCACAGCCCTGGTAGTTGTGATTGTAAGAATCAAATCAGATCAAATAATGAATAAATCGAAATTGCAATAATTACTTCAATACCCAAATAGCAAGCTTTTTCCGTATGTGATCATTTGTATAGACAGATCCCAATTATACTGTACTGTTGCAGATTATGTTGCAAATCAGAGTCCTTATATTGAAACCCAATCCTGGCATCTAGCAACACAAGTCCATTGTCTGTTTTTCTTATGCTTCAGCTTTTAAAAGGCACATATATGAGAAAAAGGTTGCCTCCATATGAACTGTAACTGATATTACATTGCCAATATCCATTAAACGCTGTATTATTTTGCCAGTGTCATGAAATCTTGAGTCAGTGGCATTAATAAAACCAACGGTGCTGCTGGAGGATCAGTTAAACACTGTTGGTGGTGATTGTGAGCAATGTAACAGAAATCCCCTTTTTGTATTCCAAATGTGTTGCATAAAATATATGGAATAAATGTCAGAGGAGCTAACTAAATTCTTGATTGAAGACGTCTCTCAGCCTACAGTTAGTGATGGGAGGGCAGGGATAGTGAAAAAGAGCCTAAAATCCATCTGCAGCATAATGAAAGCAACACAAAACTATACACTTTTAAATCAAATAATCCTGGGAAACATGTATTTTATCACAATATCAGAGTGGAGGGGACATCAGTAATTGTAACAGAGCGTAGAGTTTCCCGGACTACCGGTATTTGTTGCCATGGTTACAGGTCACCGTACCAAATCCTTTTTATAGTCATCTTTTTTATATATATATATATATATATATATAACAATACGTTAGCTTTTCATGGATTAGAGGCATCTTTAAATTGAAACGATGGATTTCAAAGTAAAAGGGAGGAGGAGAAAAAAAAATTAAAGAGGACAACTCAGCACCACTTTCTCCAGAGTGTCCACCAATCAACTCCTACCTAAGTGATCGGTAGCCCAATAGGAACGCCCGTTGCTGGTGTGCTCGGTTACTAAGGACCGAGTTCCAGAGTTCTCCCCAACCGCGTCCACAGAAAGTGTTCCGCCGCACGAGGATCGTCCCTAGCAACGGCGGATAAACATGAGTTACTACAGCATAAGGTAAAATAAAGCATCCGCGGCTTGTGCGTTACGGTACTACTTGCTCTGTTTGGCCCAGCTGCGGGACGAGAGGCCAGCAGACGTGTTCACCGTTTTCTGTAACCCGTGAAAACTTAACTCTCGCCCACAACTTTTATAAAGGCACCCCGTTGCTTACAGTAGAGGCAGCTAACGTTAGCTTCCGATGGTAACACGCCAGCTGTAACATTCCGCAGCTGGCAGAAAAGCACAAATGACAGTTAATATGTCCGCGTTTTTACTAATTATTCCCTTATTGCGACGATACGTGTTGCTCATTGAATGTCAGGTTTGCGAGCGAGCTAACGGTCGTGGTTTTCAGCACAACATCGCGTCTGAAATGGCTTTAACGTTACAACTGAACAAGGGAAAACGATAGAAAGGCGCTTTAATTGCGTTTAATATGTGTCCTCGCCTATAATAAATAACGTGTCCGCCAGGCTGTTCGTGTGGAACAAATGTGGAAGGCAATGGACTTAAGTAATGGGGAACTCCTCTTATCCAACAATGTAAAAAAAAACAAAAAACGTTACATATCTAGATAGTTAAACCAGGTATTCGTTGATAAAAATGAGTGCATTTGTGTATTTTGAGGAGTGAAATAATAATTACACCCCGCCTCCCTGAATATGTAGGATTGCGTCGAGTTTGGGAATGTTATGTTATGTTGTGTCTGTTTAATTACAATGTCTGAAGCGGTCTGCTAACCGTAACTAGGTTTAGCTTTAAATACAATGAAGCGAGAGGCATAAGGGGGGGAAACAAATGTTTGCATGTCATGTTTGAGCATGCCTTTCTGTTGCCTCTGTGTCAAAGCATTCCTGTAAGGTAGTGTATGTCCTCACCACCCAAACGAGCTACTAAAGCTTTAAATTTTAGGTGTTAGTAACTGAGTAAGTACATAAGCGAGTCAGTCAGAAAATAAGAAGTATGGATTTTTTTCCCCCCCACATTGATAGACACAGTCAGACTCGACACACAGAATTCATCTCAGCATAATACACCATAGTGCTTCCCACTGTTTTCCTCTGATGTGGGCAGAAAGCTTTGGGCTGAGGGGGTCACATGTGTCCGTGTGTGGCTCCGAGTGCATGATGGTAGCTGCTTTCATTTCGCAGAGAGATAAAAATCAAAGCAGCTCCCACCCTTTCCTGTCACAGTCCTTCCCTGATTATTTGATTATTTGACACGTGATGGAAAATAATGTTTATTGCACTTACAGTGATGTCGAAAAGCTGCGTTTCATACACTAATCATTCAGTAGGAATAGGAATATTGGGGATATTATTGTTAAACTGTCTTGGTAAAACACAAATCCATAATCCGAATGGTGCCGGTCAGTGTCTCGGCATATAGCTTCCACCCTGTTCATGTTTTACGCTGCGATTAAACACAGGGAGAACTCTTGCCTTCGTGACTGTGTCTGTTTAGTAATGTGAGACGCAGCGATGGATTCATTCCCGTTTGGCGCACCAGCTGTGATGCACACTGCTCTGTAGGGTCAGCCGACCCAGTTTGTGTTAAAGTTCACAGATGGCTGACTCAGCATTTGTAATGATCGACCTTCAAAGAGAGTTCGACTAAGGGGCCTTTTCCCTGCTTCTTGTTGCCTTTTTGTTAATCTCACACACACGTATTGATTACAGTTAGTATTATTGTTGGTCGTAGTAGTAGCAGTGTGTTTTTCCAAATCTTTAATATAAGATAATGTTAGAGTTTAATTCATTTTCATTGTCATTCAACCGTTTCAACTGACTGAGCTGACACAACTGAGGAGCGACAGTTTTCATAACAGCATCACAAATAGTGTTGCAATGACTGCTTACATGAGTGTGGTGTTGAAAGCGGGAGGCTGATGTTTTCTGTTCCTTTGTCGCACCGTATTATCACTGCCAAGGCTAGTGATGAGACTGAAGTACATAACCTGAATGAGAAGTGGAGCGTCTGTACTTTTATAGGGCCCTAAGACTTCCAGTATTGGCCTAGAATCATCAGCTGAAAGGTGAGGATAGCTTACAGTTAACCAATGTTGTTATTGCTGACAACTGAATCTAGTTCTGCCGAGGCTCTTCTATACTAGTTGAGTGTTTGCCTTGCTTTGATTCTACGCAGTATTATATCCACTATTTAATATCTTGTACAATCAGTGTCACAATCACAAAAGCATCCATTATCCTATAGAGTGCTCACTTTATGGAACAAGGTTAGAAAGATTGCGGATAAGCACTAAGAGTTGCTTCACTAGTTGCTTATTTACAAAAAAATACATCGCTTTGGTTTATAGGAGTTGCCGGCACCGTGGGAAAATACAGCAGACTGAACTGCCAGTTGACCATCGCAACCATAAATCATTTTTTTTTAATTTCTGCTCAAGCATGGCGGTTGACCTCTGCAACTACAAGCATGGCTTGTGGTTCGGTTGTGGATTCAAAGCACATCTGACCCAGTTGGCCAGAGTAACCCACTCTGCAACTGAAGACACTGAAGAAACATCTCTGGTATTTGCACTGGACTCACTCGCCCTCCTTGATGAGTGCTGCATACATTTCACTGAAGTTACAGTCACCACAAGAAGCCAAATTTACCAAACGCTTAATGGTCGTTTCATTAAAGCTGCCTAAACAAAGTAAAGCGTTACTGCAGGAGAGTCATGAGTGGAGTGTGCGCCTTGGGGTTCCCGAGGGAAATTGTATAATTATCAACTCTTGTAACTTATTTCCATCATTTGTTTTGACTTCAGTAATTACTCCCTCCGGTGAATGATTCCCCTGCTTATCATCAGTTGACTTATATGCCATTTTACCGCTGTCTCTCAGGACAAACATACACAAACACACTCTTCATTTTCTCTCTGTGCTTTCTTTTCTCTCGCTCTTGCAAAATAGGCATAGAAAGAAAAAAATGATTGGGAGATTCTGGTTTCCTAGCAACTAGATTGAGGTCGCCACACCGTGTCTGTTTTCAGAAAGGTTAATCTATAGGTTTCAGTTCATTGAGTTACCTTTTTAAAACAGCGTATGCCTTTCAATACGATCAACCAAGGAGCACAGACTGGAATATGTTACTCACACGCTGACAGTTGAACGGGGCATTCATTTTTAGAAGAGGTTTGGACTATTTAAAGCTCAATAAATTCCAGCTATTGCATATAACTGAGATGCCAGACAGAGTGTGCGTCTGTGGTTTGATAAACGTCGGAGCCCCCTTATGAGTCAGAGGAAATGGGCTATGACTGATTGCTGAGCCTTTCAAAAAGTTACTGGAAAGTAGTCGGGCGGTAAAATAAGGGAACTTAGGTGATAGTGACTAGTCCGACTGATTTTTCTTTAGAAAGTTAATAAAACATCCAGACTTGGTTCTATTAAAGCGGATCTTTGTGACACTAGTATTCAGGCCTGTCACTTTCATACCTATCCCTGGCTGACTCCTGCTGCGTTGCCTCAAGCGTGAAGTCATGGTAACAGCTCCAAGCCTCCCAACCTCAGTCTGCCTCGGCACTGGTAGCTGTCACTCCCCTGGGTGGGACGTAGCTACTCTTTCTTAGTCACATAACAGCAGAGATGTTGGAGCCTGCAGGGCTTACTGTTAGGAAGGACAGCGCAGTAACTCTGAGCTGCAGCGTAGATGAAGATTTTTGTATTACCGTAGATAGAAAAGCCCTGGACTAGCATTCCTGCAGCCGCATCCATGGACACTGTAAAGAATGGGGGATCTCAGCCTGTCTACAGCCGCTGGTCATACAGGTAGTTGCACACACACATACATATATTATAATCTTGGTACTTTAGAGGCAGTCGTTTGAAAATAGCCCTACTTTTCTGTTCTCCAACACTTTTATTTGTTCCAGCAGGACAACTGGCTCTTGCATTAACACAGACAAACATATTTTGGCTTTAGTTCCCTAAGCTGTATTGGCTTTTCAGGATTGAGAATTGCAGAGTGGCCTGTGCCAGAACAGAGGTCAGTGCTACTTTAATGTTTCTTCCAGTCGCTGCTCCATCCCTCTCGGCTCTCCTGCAGTCGAAGATGTTCCTCTCGCTCATGTTTCTGCCACCATGTCGTTACTTATTCAGAGCACCAGGCTGTGACTGTGCTGTAACCAGAGTTGGTGATTTGCGTACGTGTGTCCAACCTGTTTTTTTCTTCTTCTTCTTCGTGTGCTGTAGGCTGCTTGATTGGAGGACTCATGTAACACAGGATGTGCTGAGAATATCCTTCCAGCTGATCACTGAAACAATTGAAATTATGGCGTCTTGTTTGAATTTTGAGTGATGTCTAGATATAATATAAAAGCAGTATTGTATGCAGTATGTTACATCAAGTCCTTGCCTTTATTAGTGATCCAGTTTTTCAAGGTTTCAGTTAGTTTGTTTATTGCATTTGGATATGGGTTTTCCCCATGAACCTCCATGAAAGTCTATTTTTATTTTATTTTTTTACATAGCCTCATCTGAGATAAGAAAAAGCTCAACAAAGTGACAACAGACACTTTAGTTGCTTGTTAAAAACCTGCAGCTGAGTGAGGTTAATAGCAATCTCATGTCCAAAATTTACTTTTTGGCTCATCTGCCAATGGCAAAAAATATTTTCTGCATCATGGTTTTGAGCTCCGTATATTAGCCAGGATCTCCTCATCTTTGTTTTAGTTTTTGGTGGCCTAACACTGGGAATGTGTACATGTAGACATGTAACGCAGATGTTTCTTATGGGAAAAACATAGACAGACATTGTGTAGAAAGCACCAAATAGTAGGAAGCTACTTTGATTTGATTCGCTAATGTCATGATAGGGTACTGTGGACAGTAAGGGTCACATTAAAAACACAGCGACGTAAACCTGGCCCTGCGCTGTAATTCCACCGGTGACCCCAATTTATTTAATTTTTTAAATTATTTTTTATTTTTTATGCTGAATCCAAAATTTACGTGCATTTGGCACTTGGCGGGTGTTCATTTTAGACCCTGCATGTCAGTCAAAGCACGGTTAGCCTAATCAAAAATCAACACCAGGGTGAATCTGGTTTGAATAATCAGTACAGTGCGTTATGTGCTGTAACGTTTTATTGGCAAACAGCAGCCAGGTGAAGTAATTGTGCTCTGTTTCCTGTCGTAACAGCGAGGTTGCCCTGTTTGGTTTGGTACCATTGGGCTTATATACCAAAACCTGTGTTTTAGTAAGTAACAGTTGCACTTGTTTCTGACCATTTTTACATAAGTGAACTTTTGAGGTACTGCTTAGCTTCACGCTGGGAGAGGACAGACACTCTGCTTGTCTTTTAATTCTTTCAAAGTGTATTTTGGTATCATTTTTTCTCTCTGGTTGCCATGCACCGATCCACAGGGATTTAAGGATTTAATCTTATCAGTCCTCCTTTTATTCTGTATCCTCTCTAAGTCAGAAGCTGAATTGCCTGTGGCCAACATTAAGTTATGCTCATTCAACTTTCCAATTTCCTTTTGAAGTGGGAAAGTGAAAGGCATTTAATTAAATGAACAGTCAAAACGGGCCGTGCTCATAAGATTAATAAGACCCCTCTAGTCAAAGGCATGCAATTTCTTAATAGCTCTGATACTGTCATCAAGTCACTTGTTAACCCGTCCTCTTTTGCACCCTGAATCAACAGTGGTGTGATACACAGTTATTAGCATTTCATTATTTATACCATTAGAAATCATATTAGGCTCGACGTTTTCTCTTAAAGGTTGATGATATTGAATTGCACGGTTGATTATTTTCTCACAAAAACCTCTGGCCGAATGTTCAGAAAAAATTAGGAAAATATATTTTGACGTGCGGCTGAAAACAAATGAAACGCCCTGGTAGACCCCTGCCTCTGCCAGTCTGTAAATCTTTACAGCACACTGCTAAGGCCTCCAATTACAGTGAAGCCCAAGAACTGGCTGCAGGTTTTTAATCAATGCTGGTGGAGGTGCGCTGTTGACGGAGCTGAAATCTCCATGGTTACCCTGGTCTGACACACAAGGAAGGGACAACGGTGGCGTGTCTTTCTCTTGTCACCCAAGCTGTGATGGACTAATGAAACATTGATCACTCACAGCGGTGATGAGGCACTGAACTGTGTTTGTGCATTGTGCGCATGTTTTCCAAGAAGATCTGTGGTCGAGGACATTCTCTCGACCCCCAGCAGATTGAACTATTTATGATAATCCTCTTTAGGATGTTGTCTTTTCATTCATTATCAGCTTGTTTTGACTTAATCAGATAATTACTGTCCTCCTAAAGAATAATACAGTTGACTCTAACAGCTTTATTGTTTCATCGAGCTACTGATGAATCATTGTAAAGCCTGTAGCACTATGGAGTATTATTCGTAGCCCGTAGAGTTCTTGTTCGTTTTTTATCTTGTTACTGAACCTATTTTCTTATTTTCCATGTCCTGTGCTACTGGCTACCTTGGTGCCAAATTGTCATTCTCCCTGAAGACCCTCCAGCTCTGCCAGCTTCTCCTCTAACTCAACAGCAAGGTAGGCAGCAATACACTCGCCCAAACACACACTCACAACACTTTCCTTTTCCAACCTGTTACTTGGTTACCAGGTTAACACATTTTGAATAACCTGCAGCTTTTATTTTATTGTTTTCCTGTGGAGGTGGTTACAGCACAAATGGGTGTGTAGGGCTGCAGCTAATGATTATTTTCAGTATTTATTAATATGCTGAATACTTTCTGGGTTGATCAATTAATCAATTAAACAACTAGGTCTATGAAATAGTGAAAAATGCCTCCATTTAAAGTCCGAGTTAACATCTTTAAATGGCTTGTTTTGTCTGACCAACAGCCCAAAACCCCATAATATTCAATGTACAATGATATAAACGCAACCAAAAATTATTTTATTATAATAGTCTTGATTGCTAGAGAATGAATAATCACAGTAACATATGTCAAGGACCTCCATTCTAGATGCATTTTTACATTTGTCTGACTTTTCTTTGGACACAAGGCAATCAAACTGCTTCATAACATGTCAGAGATGTTCAAAAGGCTCTTTCATCAGTTACGACTGATGTCTATGCCGCAAACAAACTTAGTGTGCTTCATCTGTCGCTGTCACGTGGAATGTCTTTGTCTGGGGAAACAAAATGTTACAGACAGAAAGAGTGTTTGAGGTTGGAAATAACAATGAAACCCTGTTATAATGTAATGTAGAGGGTGTGGCCTTCAGCCATTAATCAGCTTTGTAGCATGGAAACAACATGATCATGGCACAGTCCAATGGGAGATCTGAGTAAACACAGTCAGTTATATGTGTGTTCGTCTGATTATTAGACATAATTACAGTTTGAGACGGACTGTTTTGTAAAAGCCCCCCTCGTAAAAGCATCCTATCCATCGGGCCACAGTGATGAGTCCACCTGCACAACCTTCACCCATCTCTGTCCTCAAGAGTAATTAAAAACTACAATCATCCTCCTTGATATAGCCCCCCTCCCTGTCACCAGCACCTGCTCTCAGGTGGCCTCCCCAGGGGACACATGTGTTTGCCAATATCAGCAGTGAGGGATACATGGAGAGGGATTTACGAGTGATGATAGGACACACTGGCGCGAGGTGACTCATTTTGATGTAGAATCGCCAGATCAGGACTCAAGCCCGTGCTGGCTGTCGGGCTACAGATGATGGTGTTAATTGTAACGCACCGGCCTTCGTAAGAGTGGAACAGGCTTGTTAAAGCACTAGAGCTCTTCTTGTTTTAAATTAGTTTCCTTTTGGCATTCAGTGACTGTCCTTCAGAGACGAGCCGTGATGTCAGCCAGCGTCGGGGCTTGAGGTCCTTAAGTAGTGTGTGTCATCACCTACACACTAGAGCTGTGGAGAGGATGTGTGAAGGGAGATTGGAATAAAGAGTGAGAATGAGCGAGTCAGATACGGGCAGCGTGATTTGAAAACTTCCCATCCTATACCCTTAATCCTTTTCTATAAAAAAGAACTCATTTCAGCTCAGCAGAACATGTGATATTTAAAGCTGTACCCGACAGGAAAGGATGGAAGAAAGGAGTTGTGACCCACACATTACATCAGTGTATGTGGGTGACTTGTGCTTGACAGGAATACTGTAGGTCTCTGACTTCGACAGTACAGACTCCTGCTGTTGCCCTTCTCTCTCTCTCTCTCTCGGTAGCCAAGCAACATGGGCCCAGTCCCTTCAGATAGGTGTCCAGGGTAAATGCCCAGAGGACACAGACTGCAAGGCATTCTCTCAGCTGGAGCTTAGTCCTTTTTTCTTTTCCTTGCTCCCATTCTCTGTCTTTCCCGAAATTGCAATCATTTTCAGAGAATGTCCTTATTTGGTTTTAGGTTCTAATCTATATTGGTTTCTTCCTTTGCTATTTTAGTTGTACTGCAGGATTGATATTTTCAGTTCTCCCTACATTACTGATTCATGCTTTTAAAACCACCACTTCTGTCACTAAGCCCTATTAATTCCCTCGAAGACCATACAGGATAAAACCTCTTCATTGCCTTGTGTTAATGCAACAACAGTGGTGACCTCTACTGGTTTGATACAGAAAATCTAATTCGTTATAGATTCTTTTAACGATGAATGTGTGTGAGACTCTTTATAAGAAAGGTTTCTCCTTTTCTCTGTAGTGGCATCGAAGACGACAGTGCCAGCCTCATGCAGCAGAAGCTGGAAAAACAGGTAGGAAGCCAAACTGCATTCACAAATGAACAACACACACTGACAATTCACACTTTTGTGCTGTTTGTTTTCGTCGTATTGTTTTCCTTATACTCTGACGTCCCGACTCTTTTGTCGTTGTCCTTTTAAAGAACATCTGGTGTAGTTCACAGCTGTTATGCGGCACTGTAGTCTGATTAAGCCTTCTAACTCACACACAGACAATGTGAGGTTGAGAGCTAACCTGTTGTGTTTGCGAGCACCTGCCAAGATCCTGCATCAATCCGGTGAAATTAAAGGGCTGAGATGACTTTGAGTTCTGTGTCACCACGGGGGTGCCTGCTTTTGGCAGGAGTAGCTCCAACATCACTGCAGTGGTGTGCAATTTAGTGATTTATGTTGTTGATTTGGAAACCTCCTGTTTTCCACCCGCCCAGTCACAATTTTAATGCTTACTTACTCCCAAAGTGTAGTTATCTTCTTTACCCACCCATTACCTGACATAGCCCTTCTTCTGTCGCACATTTGTTCTCTTTTCATCCTTTTCCCCCTGCGTCTCTGTAAGATGCTTTATCCCGAAACCTTGCTGAAGAGCTGCGGAGTAGAGCTTTGATTTAAGCTGGAAGCCGCACTCCACTATTCCACACATTAGGCAGAAAGGAGGAGGGCCAGGTTGGTGAGTTCAAAGGAAGAGAGGGATTTAGTGCAGGGTGCCTGGCTTTGTGTGTGTGTGTGTGTGTGTGTGTGTGTCCCATGGTCCCAGTGTGGCTCAGTGGTACAGCACACTCTCAACTGAGTCCAACCAGCCTCACTTGAGAGTCTTCTGTTCTTACGTAACTCATGAGGACAAACGTGTCTACTTATACCTAGAGGGGGATTATATGCGTGTTATAGAGAATTGATAGATAAATAAATATCAAACAATAAGAGTTAAATCCATGTGTCTACTGTGTTCACTCAATTCAGTGTTTCCCACCCTGTTTCAAATATTAAAATGAAAACCATTTCGACAATAATAACCAGAGCACTGTGGTTGTGACCGTATTTCACTTTGAGTGCACCTCTCTTTCTCTTCTCTCTCTCGCTCTCTCTCTCTCTCTCTCTCTCTCTCTCGCTGGAGCACTAATGACTGCTGATTCAGTTAGCAACGGTGGCCGCGCATACACACACACACACACACACACGCTCGCACACACAAACACACACACTCTGGCGCTCAGCATTCGCCTGAGAGGCAGACCTTTTTTCTGTCAGAGGACCACATAGTGCAGAGGAGGCTGTTGGTTTATCGATTGTCAAACTCCAGGAGAGGAATGAGGGACAGGGAGCCAGAGTCCAACCCAGCAGGAGTGCTACTCTTTGGGGGAGAATGTAGTTTCATCTGACCTCAAGACAAATGGGACTTGTAACGTTTTTTCTATAGAGAAACCTGTTAACTTTGGCTCACACTTGTTCAGGATGTCAATGGAGAGGGTTGGTAACTTCTAATATTTCTTTTTTATATATTATTTTCTTTTCATTTGTGTGAGGATAACAGTTTGTATGAATTAAATATCTGTGTCTGAAATAGGAAAGAGAATTCCAGACAAAGATTATTTAACTTCTAATTTCAATTTCTTTTGTTCTCAGATCTTTTGCAAAGAGACACGTTTTAATATACAGTATGTCTCCTTAAATCTGATTTATATCTTTGGTCTACTTTTTCTGGTGTTTTGGCTGATACAGGAAAGACAGAATGAAGTCACATCCTGGTCTCAACATGCCAAGTACAGAGTCTTTACAAAAGAATGGGATAGATTAACAATAGATTAACTTAAAATAGCAACTATAAGGGAAGTCAACACAAACTAGTCTTTCATGTGGAGAATTAGTCCAGAGTGTGGACCGACACAGTGCAGGTAAAACTAAATCTTAAGAAGTCATTAAACCTTACTTTAGTCCAATGTTTTAGTTGTTTCCCATGTAATTTCCCTTCATTCAATAGCCAGTATCTTGACAAAAGGCAGAAGAAGTTAGGTCACACCAAACAAATCTAGAAAATATCTAGAACATTTAAAAATTTGGAGCTCAGCTTCAGGCCAGATTCATTTTTACCTACACCTTCACCATCAGCAGTCTTTCCCCCATCACTGTTGTGATGCATCTTGAAACTTGGCAGTATTTCCACATCCATTTATTACACCAACAGTAATGATGTTGATTATGATAATCCTGCTTTATGTTTTATTCATTTGTCGCCTTTATTTATAGCCATAAAGCAAGTATGCAAATCCCGGTCCTCTTAAAGCAGAGTCTTTTGAAATGATAACAAATCTAGGTCCAGCTTATAAAGCTCCCAGACTCATCATACACTTGTACAATAAAGAACTTATGTATTCGGTAACACCGTTTCTATTCCTTAATCACCCTTTTTACTTATTTCTTTTCTTACCTCTTGCTCAAGGTTGGGTCATGGGGGTCATTTTCTCATCTGCTGTCAATGCACTATGCCTCTTTGCACTATATGTAACGATGATGTAAAAATGAATCCACTTTTTCAGCGGTGGCAGATGTTAATGGGGTTGTACAGAGGGTCAGACAGATTTCTTAGAGACATTTTGTCAGTATCAACACAATGACTGATGGGTTATGAAAGCTTTTTTTCATCTGGCGAATATGAGACAAGGCCTCCTGGTCTCTTCCAGCTCACTAAACAGCATCACTAAACAAGGCTTGTTGTTGTGCATTTGACGCGCTAATTAATGCGCTTGCGTAATCCATTGGGTGCTTTGACCACAGAGACTGGGGCTTGGGGTGGGGGAGTGGATACCACATGACCGGGATACATTTTCTACCCTTACTGAAACTTATAAAATGAATCATAAATCACTATACCATACTACCTAAATCATATACCAATTCTGTATAATCATCAGGCAAATATGCCGGTTAAGGAAGAGGTCTGTGCTCACGTTTCGTTGGATGCTTAAAAGACCTGCCTTTCTTTACCAAGTCTTTGTAGGATAGACTGTTAGTCATTCTTCAGTAACACTAAATGACACCGTCTCGGCACCCGTTATTTGGGCTATTCTGTAAACCCATTCATTGCACTCGGTGGTATTCTGGCCTTGGCATGATTGTTGGCTTTTATTATGGCTTTATTTTTTGCCCCTCTCTTTTGATTTCACTCTTAATATTTTTCCACTGTGTGAGTCATCCTGCATTCACATCAGCTGTACAGTGCATTTGCATTGTCCATACAGTGTGGGTGTTTATCAGTATACTTGTTATTTGAATAAATTAATTTCCTGTTTTTTTTATATTTTGAAAGGTTTTTCAAGGTTGCCTTTTTTTTATTATATAAAATAGTTTATTCTGTCATGTAGCTATGCAAGAATTTACCCTGATGGCCAATTCGGCTAGACAGGATGTATCAGTCTTTCCTCCTACGTAGGACCAGGAGGTTTACAAAAACCTGTACACTGTGTTGTTATGTGACTTGTCTAGCTTGTGGCTTTTGAGACGGCAGTGTAGGTCAGTGAGTTAGTCGGTCGCATAACACTAGGTTACAAAGTTGATATCTTAAAGGTCCATTGTGTAACATTAAGGAGGATCTACTGGTGGAAACCAAATTCCCATCAGTCTCTCTCTCTCATCTACAGTCTGTATTATGAGTATGTATATCTATATAACATGGTTACGGTTAGCCACAGGTTGGAACTCATCATGCATATTAATGTAATTACCCTCGACTCATAGAGTTGATGTTATCCAGCTTGGTTAAACGTCCTCAATCTTTTAAATATTTAATAGAACCCTGATATTTACATGCAGTAATTTTCCAGTCATGTGCCTTGAAACCCAGCACATTTATCTATTTCCGTTCCCCGTTTGGTCCACAGAGGGCACTGCTGGAGCAGAAGCAACGGAGGAAGCGTCAGGAACCTCTGATGGTCCAGCCCAACACAGAGACTCGGCCCCGGCGCTCCAGGACACGGCGTGGTGAAGAGCAGGCCCCTCTGGTAGAGTCTCAAGTCAGTATCACCAATGATGTCATCATGGATGGTGAGAAAAAGACCTGTTTTTTATTTTTGCATAATTTCATTTTCACATAATCTTTCCTCGTAGGATAAAAAAAGTAGGTATTAATGTGCTACATTCTGTTTACATGTGTTTAATTACACATCACATCATACTACAGGCGTGGATGTGGTACAGTTTAGAAATACCTGACACAAATCATACATTACAGGTACTTAATATAACCTCTTTAAGGCTCTCACTCAACAAAACCTCAGGCCAATCCTGAGCTAATTAGAGAAGTGGAGCTTTTCAGCAAAAGTGATGACTCAGTTGGAGCATAGCTCAGAGACAGACAAACAGTTCTTTGTAATTATTAAAACATGAGAACATTATCAGCTCCTGTTACAACTGTTTCTGCCCTGCTGAAGGTATTGATGGCCCAGCAGCGTTCTTGGGCTCAGAAGCCCCTGATCTGGGAATGAAAATCCAAATCCTGTCAGTGAGCCAGTCTCAGTCCCAGTCCCAGTCTCAGTCTCAGCCCCAGTCCCCTGCTGAGGAGCCGGAGAGGGATGGAGACACTGAGACGCTGCTAGAGCCCAAGACTGATATCCACGAATTACTGCAGAAACAAGGTGAGTCCTGGCAGAGTTTACGCAAATCAAAACATTTCTTAACAACTCTTGAAGTAAAATCCAAGTCTGACGTATCCACTTATATCCTTATGATTAGGTTTTTACTGTGTTTTTTAATAAGCAGCGGTAATCAAAATTATATGGCACACCCCTAGACTACAGTCAACCTCCTCCTTTACATCCTCAAATATCCTTTTACTTTACTTCATAAAGGATTAGTGAGGCACTTTCTATTAAAGCATTTTAATTCCGTGAAGCCTATTGATTGACTTATGTCCTCCCTGTTAAAGGGAGATACAGCTTCAGTCACATTTAATAGCCAATGTGGTTTCCTGCTTAATTCCTTGTCTTTGTCACCTTTTTGTCTGATCAAGATCTCTTTTGCAAGAGAGAGATAAAAAAAAAGACACACAGCAAAACACAGCCAGTGTCACACAAGCATATACAACCGCATCAGTAGACTGAGTCTGTAGTAGACATTTATAAAGAAAAGTTGTGTTGCGTATCGTGTGTAGTTCTCTTGTTGTTGTCAGTGAGGACCAGCCTAATATAGTCACTGTGTGTTAATGTGTTTGCAGTTGTAATTCACTCCATATAAGCAGCTATTGTTAAGCAAAGTCAGACTTTTTGACATCCCCTAGACTTTTAAGCTGTCTCTTGCTGCAGTATGGAATATGGATGCGGACAGTGGTGTGATTGATGGTGACGCAGTGAGAAATGGGTCGTTTAATAATAGGCCAGGGCATTGTTCATACTGCAGCGCTCATCTATGGCATCATTATAGCTACTGCCACCCACTCTCACCAGCCAGCTGGCAGGCAGGGATTTATAAAGTTTATGGAAGATGCATTAAAATCTAGCCCAGAGTGGATGGTGTACTTTTTAGATCCACCTGCTACTGTGGAGCTAAAAACAAGTCTCTCCACCCTAAAACGATGTTAACTCTCATTTAAAGGAACACGATTAAAGGTTAAAACAGCTCCACAAATGTTATAATGTTGGCATTGCAGAGCCACAATTGAATCCTGGGTCAAATTATCAAAAGTGGCTCTGGTTATCAGATCTTTTTCCCTGGGCTTTAGTGTGACGTGACGCCACAGTAGCAAATGTCATTGTCCTTCTCAATAATGCAAGGCCTCATTGTTAATGTCAGCCCAGTTTAGCATAAGAATATGTCCTCAGGACTTCCAGCAGGTATTTTTGGCTCTCTGTCCTTGCATAATACCCCAACCCCAAAGGAAACAGAAGAAATTTTGAGGTACATTCATATTTGATCAGCTTATTCCATCAAGATCTGCATTTTTGGGTGGCTGAAATTCAGTATTCCTGACCTGCTGTGTGCTCATTATTATGTTGCATGCGTGTCGTTTTTGCTTTTATTTAGTAGGTTGTTGGTTAGCCCATTGTGAGTCCTCTTTGACATTTCCAGATGGTTGATTTTATAAGCCTCACACAACGTTCTTCAGTGTTGTAATTGGAGCCCTGGAGTCCCTGTTAGAGGGAGGCTAACATTCTTTCACAATAGTTAATATCAAGGATAGCTGCATATCCTGGGTTCCTCTTTTGTAAATACCCCGGTTTACATATTGTGTTTGACTGTGTTGTCTCTCACATTATTATTCTTGTTCATTCCTGCTTAGGTCAATGCTTTCCAACCCCTTCTGCTCCCTAACCTGCCATGATATGTTGGTCAGGCTTGAAGGAGGATGTGGCCTCTTTTGCATGCCAAGTAGAAAATGCACTGTGTCTGAATTGTGGGCCAAAATTACTTTCCTTTATTCACTCCAAAGCTGAAGATTGGATTACAGTAATTAGGGAAACTTGTGCAACATGCTCTATAATTTCATACCAACCTCGCTGTTACCATCAATGTCATCTCTGGTCATGCAATTAATTAAAGTTAAATTTCAATCCAAGTGAAAAGTGTTCTAGTTTTACATCTTTAACACTGCAGAGCTGTGGGGAAACACAATTTCCCCTGCTTACTGAGATCTTTCCATACCAGCGGACCACTGTCATCCCCTGACAGCACATTCAGATGGGCTGTAACTGCAGCCAAGAGCTGCGTCCTGGCTGATGAATCCAATTATCAACGAAGAGACAGATGTCTCAAGCGGTCTTGACTGGCTGCAGTCAGCTAGGCCCATTTTACATCTGCATGACTGCATGGAGCTGTCTCTTCACAAGTGCACAGATGCAAGTCTTGGAGGGATGTTCAGCTTCTTCTCTTGACATTAATCTCACCCTCGCAGAAAGTGACTTAGAAAAAGATGCATTGTTTGTGACAGGTAGGGCTTCAATTGAGGCCACTAGCCAAATGTGACCTTTCTGTAGGGTAAGTGCTGTGCACAGCTTAACTGGATGATCAGGTTGTTCGGTTTGATAGAAAGGAGTTTGGATTGGTTCAGTTAGATTCTCAAGGCTTTATTCACTTTCCTCTTTTCCAGTTAAAGGTTCTCCCTTGAGTAAAAGTAAAAAAAAAAGTACCCTGCTAAAAAAAAAAACTATAAAAGGGAGGGATTTTAACTGAATTATGCACTATTTCTGCTTCAGCCATTGCTCAAGGATTGCATCAGTTCTTGATAAATTAGTTGTGATATATCAAAGACCATAGAAGAACCAAAAAAAACGTAAAATCCACCTTGGGGACACTTTTTTTTACCAAAACCAAAGAAATAAGATAAAGTCTTTGAGATTCTTTTGTAGTTGGGAATATACACAGAGCCTCTGGCTTTGTCTTGTATGAATGAGCTTCCCAGCATGAATATTGTAAAGACCTTCATGCATCATTAAAGCTCTCTCTCACCTTTGCCTCTTCTCCCTCCCCAGGCCTGTGCGGCAGTATGAACTTCGACGAAGCCAGCGAGCACGAGGACGATGTAGAGGAGGAACGGACACGGTCTTTGTCCCCTAACGCAGACACCAACAGACCCGCCTCTGCTGCCAGTGGCAAGGACATTCCTGTGAGTGGCCCAAGAAACGCATTCACCAACAAGCTTCAAGCGTATACTACACAATCCCCATCCCAGTTCTAAATATTGCGTAAATAAGCTATCATAACAAAAGTTCATGTTCCATATTCAGGAGGTGGTGATCCCCGGATCACCCACAGCAGACAGCGCAGTAATTGATGTGGCCAATCTAGAGGAGTTTGTCTTTCGTCCGGCTCCACGTGGCATCACTGTTAAATGTCGAATCACTCGGGACAAGAAGGGCATGGACCGCGGCCTTTACCCCACCTACTTCATGCACATGGAGAGAGAGGATGGCAAGAGAGTGAGTGTGTGCAATAAGTTATCCTAACGGCTAACAGCTGAAATGATTAGTCGATCGGTGGATAGACATAAAATTAATCAGCAGCTATTTTGATAAACAATTAATCATTTTTGACATTCCACGTTCCAGGACTCTCAAAGGTGTGGATTTGGTGCTTTTCTTTGTCATTTATTATAGTAAATAGCACATCTTTGGGCTTGGTTGAACTGGGGTTGTGGGAAATTATAATTGCATTTTTCACAACTTTCTGACATTTTACAGACAAAATAATTTATTGAAATTGAATAGCTGGTAGTTATTCCACAATGAAAATAAGTAGTTATACCCCTAAAGAATTGTTATATACTGTATGTTAAGTGAATCGTTAGCCATAAAAAAAGAAAAAAAAGTGTAACTTCTTTACTTTTAAAACTTTTAAAACTACCTTAATATGCAAGACTCGTTTTTAAATGTAAATGGGACATTTTTTCTGTCTCTCTTTTCAGGTGTTTTTGCTGGCAGGAAGGAAGCGAAAGAAGAGTAAGACGTCCAACTACCTTATGTCAGTGGATGCCACTGATCTTTCGAGAGAGGGAGAGAGCTTCATAGGTAAACTGAGGTAAAACCACACTCACTCTTAGATCTACCTGTGCCCATAAAAGGTCAGACTGATTCTACCTAAAATCCTACAGTATTCTGTAATTCTCCTAAAGTATAAGCAAATTACACTGTTCAGCTTTTGGACAGTTAGCAGGAAGTCTAATTGCTTGAAACAGTGCTTTTGCTTCTGCCTCTCCACACGACTCGGGTGTTAAAGGTGCCATCAAGTTGACAAATTTGAAGTGGTGTAATCGTTTCATCACCAATGTGCATTCTGTCAGGTCCAACCTCATGGGCACCAAATTCACGGTGTACGACAACGGCACCAATCCCTGCAAAAACCCCGGGGCGCTGCTGGAGGAGAGCAACACACGACAGGAACTGGCTGCCATCTGCTACGTGAGTAAATGACAAAGACACGCACGGCACACGCTACATCCCCAGTTCATTCATAACACAAAGTGAAACTGTCGCACTCTTTGTACTGTTTGGCAGGAGACAAATGTGTTGGGATTCAAAGGACCACGTAAGATGACCGTAATCATCCCGGGCATGAACATGAATTTTGAAAGAGTCCCTGTAAGGCCTCAAAATGTGAGTCTGACAGTCCTGGGATCATGTTGTTTGAGTATGATTTTATATATATTGTACATTTATATTCACCTTGGCTAAAATATACAGTTTGGACTGTATAGCTGTACCCACACTGTGTGAAGACAAAGTGTTTGATATGTGTTTGGATTCACTCTGAACAAGAGCATCAATTTAAATAGGTATGTTTGTGTTACAGGAGCAGGAGAGCCTCCTGAGCAGGTGGCAGAACCACTCACTGGACAACCTGATTGAGCTGCACAATAAGGCCCCTGTGTGGAACGACGACACCCAGTCTTATGTGCTGAACTTCCACGGCCGCGTCACCCAAGCTTCAGTCAAAAACTTTCAAATAGTTCACGACAACGACCGTAAGTATTCGCCCTCTCTTTCCCACGCATTTTCTGCACCGTTACATGCTTACAGCAACGATTAACACGCTGTATGGCTGTTTTACTGTTTCCCTCTGCCTCTAGCTGACTACATTGTCATGCAGTTTGGCAGAGTGGCCGAAGACATCTTCACTCTGGACTTCAACTACCCCATGTGCGCTCTTCAAGCCTTTGCCATTGGCCTGTCGAGCTTTGACAGCAAGCTGGCCTGTGAATGAGAACTACCGGTTTTACTTCCACGCCGCCACCTTTCCTGCTCTCCCTAAAAATCTCTTCTCGCGGAGGCTGTTTGGAAGCCGACAGCTTCACTGCTCACATCATCGGCAGTCAGTTCACGCACAAGTCAAGAAACAAATTATGAAACTGAGAAAAAAAAAAAGGCGGATACTGATCAGAGATGTCGGTGCTCTGTTGGCCAATCCAACAACCCTCTTGGTTCCTGTGCGGTAGTTTTCCATGCCATTTTAGTGCGGTTATTTCCATCAGTTTAACCTTTTTTGTACAGTGTACTTGTATACAAACTAAAAAAAGGGAAAAGACAAAGTAAAACACTCTGTGCTGGAGACAGGCGCTCCTGTCAGACATCTGCTGCAAAAACAACTGATGTTAAACCTATGACTCAATCATTGTTTGAAGGGCGGTGATATGTGTATTAATGATGTATTTTCTATCGCTTCTGTTGCCTTTTAAATTTGATTTCACTCAGTGTTTTTTGCCACACTAGCGCCAAAAAGAGCAACGTCGGCTGAGAAGTCCCTCTTAAGGAGCAGAAACCATTAGGAATTACATTACACCGCCTTTCCTCTGGCGCCACCCTCAGGCTCAAACTGTAGAGTTATTGGAACTACGAAAAGCAACGTTTTTTCACCCATACAACACTTTTTCTGGAAAGTAATGGGCATCACAGTCTTGGCGCTAGCGTGGCTACAGAATTTCAGTCTTGTTTACATCTTTAAATGTGGCTACATGGTTTAATCTGCCATCTACTTAAAACTAATTTTGATGTTATTCCTTTATTATCATGTTGTCATCCCTTGTTTTAATGTTGTGTGGAAGGTGCATTATTCAGAACAGGCCTGTCTTATGTTGGTGTTTTTTGTGAGTAAGTGTAATTTGTATCTTGTGACTGTGGTTTTTCTTATCATAACAAGTTGGATTATCGTGAAAAAGAAAACATAAACGCAGAATTGCACATTTTAAAGAAAAAAGAATATACACACTGTATATAAAACACAAGGTAATGCCTTATTTGATCTATTGTTGCAGTCTTTAAACAAAATACTAGATTTTACTTCAAGACGGGAAGGGATTTCAAAAATATGGATAGAAGTTAAGCATTAATACGATAGACAGAGCTTATATTTTCGTGGGTACACAGACACAGAAGTCAACCCGGACTTTGTACAGTATAAATAAAAACAACAATAAGTCTACTGTGTCTACACTGAGGAGTCAAGATACAAGTGGCATTTTATTGAGCTGAGATGGAGTTGGAACCAAGTTGTTAAAGCCCACATTCAGTCCATCGCAAAGTTTCAAAACTATAACTGCCTTTATCCCTTTAGCACATCTTCCTTTTTGAATTTAAGGGAAACTTAAGGGAAATCAATAAGGGATAACACCCTTTACATGACTTTATATCATTATTAAATATCCCTAATATTTTCTTAATTCGGTGTACTGTATGTGTGTGAAAATAGAACTGAAAAAATCTGATAGTACATACATGTTGAGGGTCATTATTGCTACAGAGCCAACTGTAAAAATTCAGTCACGATACGGTTCAATCTGTCTCCTTAACAGAAAAAGTGTTCAGTGGGACATCCTGCTGAAAAGGCTTTTCAGGGGTAGATTTAACTTCTATTTCAACAGGGCGTTTTCAGCATAGAAAATCCTTAACATGCAAACAGATTCAAACACCTGGTACCTGGTTAGTTTTAAGACAGTTACTATTACAGATATTATAAGTGTGCCAGGAACTTATGAAAATTCTGTTTTGTCATTTTGTGTTGGAGTTTTGAAGAGAGAAAAGAGAGATTTTTTGAAAATATTTTGAAATGTATACACGTTTACTACAAGACTTTGATGAAACACATTCCAGTGTGGCATTTCAAAAAACATACAATCAGGTATATGTATTTTAACAGATGAAACTATAACGACAGATGATCAAACTTCATATTAAAACACAGTGAGATGAATGTATTCAGTGAACAGCTTAGTTTCATAAACATGACAGATGTCAATTTGATTCAGAACACATTTGAGAAAAAAAACAAAAGTACTTATTTCTGATGTAAAATGTTTGAATAACCAAAATAAAGACAATTTGAAAAATAAAGAACTTCATAAGTTTAAATGTCTAGAACTTCACTGCACATTATTTTACATGTAACATTTCAGGTGATCCTACAACTGGACACCTTTCACACGGTTCATGTCTGAACATTTAACATGAACAAACTCCCCTGCTATCAAAGCCTGTCATCAAATATCAATCTCTTTGGGGAGGTCTTTGTACTGGATGAGGTAGTACGGGTAGCACTGACAGCTATCAAAAACTACAAACATGGAGGGTTTATCCAGGCTGTCCACACAGGCATCGTAGAGATGGTACTGCCTCGTTTTGGAGTTGAGCGGCGGCGGCCGGCGGTAGTGGGTCCTCCCTACACTCACCTTCCCCACCAGGACTTTGGCCAGGAACATGTGGCGAACCTCGTTTGGCCCGGCCTTATTCGAGTAGGTCTTGGAGAAGGAGGCGGTCGTGGCGAAGTAGGAGCCAAAACCGTAGGACGTACCGTTGACGCCGGCCATGCGAGGGTCGAAGTTGTTGTGGCAGATGTCCTCTGAGGCTTCTTTGGTCGTCCCGTGGAAGAGATGTCTCTCAAGAGGCTCCTTAAACTTGGTGTGCTGCTTCTGCATGTGTGCCTTGTGCCTGTAATGACAACGCAGATACAAGTGTTTTAAAGCAGATAGTTTACCACCACAAATAATCAATTCAACACCCACTTTAACTTTAACACTGTAACTTTAACTCAACTTTTGAGACAAGAAACACAAACAGCTGCTGGACCTTTGGTACTTGTCCCAGTGGAGCAGGTTCTGGACCTGTTGGATGCTGATGATGTCCACCTCAGACTCAGGCAGGCTCTCATAGAAGAGGTTTTGGACCCTCCTGTAGGCCTCTGTGCCGGCTGGAACATCCACCAGGCTGTAGTCCTGCTCTGAGGTCACACACCACACGGGAGGATACCAGGAGCTGAACTCCACCAGGGGGTCCACGCTGAAGTTGGCCGCTGGAGGATCACTGGCAGGTTTGGTGGGGTCAGTCTGGATTCCTGTCCTAGGTATGGGGAGGAGAGGAACAGCTATAACATACTTATGCATACATGAGTGAAGTTTGTGAACCAGAATACCCACTGTAGGTAAGGCTGCATGGAAGCGGGGGATCGGTAGAAGGGTCTGCAGCGGACGTCCCTCTGGTACCCTGTGGTGAGGTTTTTCTGGATCATGGTGGTGAAGTCCACCTTGTACTCTTGTGAGCCGATATAGAAGGAACATTCGGGTTCCTTTTGGCTCATCTTCTTTAGCAGGCAGGTGGACAAATTCTACGAAAAGATTGACCAAATCGTAATAGTGGTTGGAGATAAAACTAGAATAAAAGAGGGCACTAATCAAACTTGAAAATAGAGAAACATAAAAAGGAAACATTCACCTTGCTGTACTCCTCCCAGTCAAAGTTGTTCCACCAGTAGATCTTCCACACGCTGGGAAAGTAAGGGTTCCTAACCAGACTGTCAGAGTTCGTCAGCCGTCTAACCCCGTCATACTTGGATGAGTTGTCCAACTCCATCTCATTAAAGTTCAGACTGTAGCGGAGATGCCTAAAGGGACAGCATTGTATGGTTACAACTAAAACATACTACCGAACCTGCTGAAATAAGAAGACAAGAATACTTATTTTTTGCCTTTTTTCTGAGATATCAGTATTGTAATAGTTTTTATTAGCTGAAAACATTTAATAGCAACATGCAGTAAAGCTAAAACCAAAGATCTGGCTCCAGTTCGACTCTCTTACTCACCCATCCTTAAGGCAAACGACCTCTTGGTTCACATTGCTGTAGAGCCTTTCCAATAAGACCTGAGAGCGAAGGGGGATGCTGACCCACTGGTGGGTGATCACACACCACAGCTGCCAGTAAAAAGGG